CGGGATCGTTGTCCCGGCGCGGTAACCGGGACTAAAGGCTGTTACCGCCCGGGACAACAGGTCCATTCTGCAGTAGTGACTATTCCATTTGCTGCCATGTGCCATACCAATATTTAGAAAGAAGATAACTTTCAGCGTTTAGTGTTTTATTTATGGCAAGGCGAATCAAATTCACTCAAAGGCACATAAAAAAAGATCCAAATCAAATAATGCATTTTATATCAGTATATCACAGTATGTATTCACAACAAGCATTACAATCTATGTTCTAAAGAACTAGTTTTACACGCACACAAACACAACGGTGGAAGCACACTTCAAAGTCACGGACACACCACCCTAAGTCTCTTGATCTTGGGCAACGTTGATGGCACTTGTTCTTTCTTTGGCAGGTGCAGCTCCGGTGCGTTGTTCATCTTGGCGAACCATGGGTGTTTGAGCGCGGCAGCTGCCGTGAGCCGCTTGTCGGGGTTGCAAGTGAGCAGGCCGCTGAGTACCCGGAATCCTTGCATGGATAGCTTTTTCATGGGAAACTCCTGTCGCAGTAGGTTGCGCCGCTTCATCTTCAGCTCCGGCATCATCTGGGTGGCGAACGGCGTGGACGACAACCATGGCCACGTCGTTTCATCTGGCGCGCCGAGGACGTTGAAGATCACGTCGAGCTGGTCTGCTTCATTGGAAGCCATGAACAGAGGGGACCCGTCGATGAGCTCCGCCATCACGCAGCCGAGCGACCAGGTGTCGACGAGGGCGTCGTAGTCGGGCTTCCCCAGCAGCACCTCGGGCGCCATGTACCACAGCGAGCCGGCGTTCTCGTAGGGCGGCGGCTCCGCCAGTACATGGCGAGCCCAAAGTCGCAGATCTTGACGGTGGAGCGGTCCTCGGCAACAAGGATGTTGTCCGGCTTGATGTCCCGGTGGACGACGTGGGCGTCGTGCATCTTCTTGGCGCCCGTGAGCAGCTGCCACATGACGCCGCGCACCGTCGCCTCGGGCAGCGGCGGCATCCCGCCGCAGCGGCGCTGGTGGAGGAGGTCGCTGAGGCTCGCGCCGACGCACTCCATGACCAGGCAGAGGTCCATGGTGGCCGGGCTGCGGGCGAGGCCGTGGAAGCCGACGACGTACGGATTGTCCCGGCCGCTCGCCTCCAGCAGCGACGCCTCCCGCAGCAGCGACGCCTGGCTGCCGTGGGCCGCGGCGAGGCGCTTGATCGCGACGGTCCGGCCGGTGCCGCGGTGGCGCGCCTTGTGGACCGAGCCGAAGGCGCCCGTGCCGATGGGGCCGGTCTCCTCGTAGTCGTCGGTGCTGCCCATGGCGACGCGCGTCCTCTTGCGGGTCGGTCGCGCGGCGCCGGGGTCGCGGACGGCGGCGGCTGGTGCAGCTGCCTCTACGCAGGCGGCCATTAGGGCGAGTGGAGGAGGCGGGCGATTCGACGGGCTGCTTGCTTGAGGCAGGGGGACGTGGATCGTGGGAGGTGGCGGAGAGGCGGCGGGAAGCAGGTGAGGATGCGCGAGTAGCGGCGGTGACTATATGCTGGGGGTGCGTCGTGAGTCCGACGACGACGAGCGATGCTCGATTTCGACTCGGTTCCCGCATCCGCATGATCGATCTCTCCTCTCGTCTCCGACAAAGGTTGGGAGCAGCAACTACCTGGCGCGTGCCGCGGACGCGTTCATGCGATCCTGCCTGCGACTCCGACTGCGAGGCTCCCGACTCCGAAAAGCTTTTGGGCGATGGCTTGCGTTGCGCGCACGGCGCAGTCCAAAGTTCCGATCGGGTTTGGTTTTTTTTTGAGATGTCATCGTTGTTGGGCTCCGTAGTCGTTAAGTGTCTGGGCTCTGGTATGTGGGCCGTCGGAGACGTAAATCACGGCTGCTTATCCGGCCTGCAAGGAAGGAACGGAGCGACAAGGTTGGGCCTCAGGGTCACGACTCACCCGGCCCACGCAGCATGTACGCTGGGCGCTGCAGCCCCGGATCGCTGGACCTGCAGGGGCGGCGGTGGAACTGTGAGGCAACGAGACGACTCCTCGCTGCGGCGCAGGTGCGTGCGACACGAAGACCCGCCACGATGTGTTTCATTTTGGCTAAATTTCCTCCCAGTCCCGGCAGTCCACCGCCCGTCCGGGCTCCAGGCTCCAGCTCCAGCCATGCCAACCTTGGCACTGGCAGCAGCAAAAACCAGATTAGCTTACGCTAAACTCTGAATTTGTGGCACTGTCTCGTCGCCTTGTTACTTACATACGTATCAAGAAAATATGCAATTCTAGTACAGTGTTATGTTTTAGTACATCAAATTTGACCGATTATAGATAAAAAATTATAAATATTTATGATATCAAATAAATATTATTAGATTAATTATGAAATGTATTTTTATAATAAATTAATTTGGAGCCATAACTATAAATACTATTCATTGAAAATTTAGTCAAACGTAGAGTATTTTGTTTAGCACGCAACCCATAGAGGGAGTAGCTACTCCTACGTGACACTAATCTCAAGCCCTCTGCGTTGTACGGTATGGTCCGCTGCCTATTCTTTGCCTTTTTGTATGGTACTGACTGCTGACTTGGAGGCATCAGACTAGCTGTAGTAGCTGATCCAAAATTGCAGGCGTTCAAGTACTCACAGGCAGGCAGCATTGCAGCAGTAACTAGTATCGGTACTGTTTACAAAATCAGCCTAAGGTTCGTACTCCACGGGGAAAAGTAGGCTTTGTTTAGATCCAGAGCTAAAGTTCAAAAGTGTTATATCAAGGTGTCAAGTGGAAATACTTCAACAGTAGTAATAAAACAAATTACAGAAGCCCTCGGTACTCTACGAGATAAATTTAATAAGCCTAATTAATCCATCATTAACACACGTAATTTATTACTGTAGCACCACATTGTCAAATCATAGAGTGATTAGGCTTAAAAATTTGTCTCATAAATTAGTCACAATCTATGTAATTAGTTATTTTTTATTCTATATTTAATACTCTATACGTATATTAAACATCCCATACAATAGGTACTAAACTTTAGGGAGAAACTAACGAAGGCCTTGTTTAGTTTCACTCTCTCTCCATCACATCAAATCTTTGGACACATGCATGGAGTATTAAATATAGATAAAAAATAACTAATTACATAGTTTGATTGTAAATTACGACACGAATCTTTTGAACCTAGTTAGGTCATGATTAAACAATAATTATTAAATACAAACGAAAGTGCTACAGTGCCGAGATTTCTATCCCCGAACTAAACAGGCCGAACCAAAAAAGGAACGGAGAGTGGTCCTCCCCTGCCTACCGAGACCGAGATGCTAATGCTAGTCAGGAGTCACTCGCTTTGGGGGAGGTTTCGAAGTTTGGACCGGGCACGCGTCGCGTCGTCTCGTCTCAGTTTTTTTTTTTGTTTCTATTCTTTTGATAAAGCAACCAGGGGTGGTGCTAGGACAAGTAGACCAGGGTACATGCCTGTCTGCTCGGCATGGCATCGGCATTGGCATGCACCCCTCTGCCCCGGTGAGTACTCCTACTCCCTCCTTTGGCCTGGGTCCCCGCTGCCTCCATGTCCCCTGCCGTGCCCACACCGCTTGTTGCTTTTTCTTCGCCTAGCATAGCAGTATATGCATGGGCCCTATATGCATTTCCTTCTTCGCCTAGGCCTTGTTTAGATACTATTTAAATTCCAAGTTTTTTTACTCTCTCTTCATCACATCAATTTTTAGCCGTTTACATGAAGTATTAAATGTAGGTAAAAAAATAACTAATTACATAGTTTAGTTGAAAATCACGAGATGAATCTTTTGAGCCTAGTTGGTCCACGATTGAACAATATTTGCCAAATAAGACGAAAGTGGTATTATTCATCGGGTTAAAAAAAGTTCCAATCTAAACGAGGCCCTAGTTGCAACTTGCAGCCCGGAGCCCCCAGCAGAGGCCAGCACAATGAGGATTCAGGCAGCATCAGCCTCTGCGTCTTCAGCACGGTTACTTTGTGCACAAGCGTTCAGAATTGAATGTAGCCTGCATGCATGCTGTTCAGGTGATCATTTCGCCGCAAGCATGAACAGAGGCTGCATGCATATTCTACCATGGTCTGTGGAAAGGTTACGGCCGGGAACAGTTTGCTGTACAAACCATCATTTCATTTCATTTCATTTCGACTTAACAAAATATTTGATTGAGCCCATGGCGCGGCTCTTGTTACATAACATCAGGACACCAAAAGCAAAAACCAAACAAAAAGAAGAAGAAACCAGGCCGGCCTTCTTCCAAGCTCGAACGGCCGGGAAAAGGAAGAATCGTGGCACGAAGGGGGTATTCTCCAACGGGAGCACAACACCAGTTTACCTTCAAGAATGTTAGGGATCAGCTTATCTTGACACAAACGCTCCTTTTTTTCTTGCCCGTAAATCGGGACTCGCAGATGGTTAGATTCAAAACTGTGCAAATATTCCTGTTCATTCATGGTAAAGAGAGCATGTATTAGTCATACTGCATGCTTGAAATCTAACACGAATGATCTTTGACGTTCAGCAGATCATACCTAATCTTACAATCACAAAGCATCTCCTCGAGTATCTGCACGTTGAAGACGGTAGGAAATGGGGCGTCAATCGCAGCAAAATTTCCAAACATCATTCGAGAAAACATGCGTATGCAGACGACTCCAGACACCAGGGGCACAGAAACACATGACAAAAGGAGTCACCTGTTAGCTGCAAACATTCCGACTGATGGAACCTTGGGAGAAATGAACTTCAGTCAGTCAGTCATCAGAAGGTGCGCCCTGCCACTCAGGTAACGAGGAATGTCTGTCTGCACTCTGCAGTGAAACACCACATGGGGGGTTATGATGAGTAGAAGGAATGATTTCACATGGAATTCAGAGCATCAGTAAGAGCAACGAGACTTAAACAATACTACTCCTACTAGCATGCTGCCGGTGCCAGCAGTATAGAATACAAACCTTGGCTGGCTCCTTCCATCCTCCATCGAGACGCACAATCAGTAAAAATTTATGTCCATGTAACTGCGTGGATAAGTCGGGTATGGTAGCTCGTCCAGCCCCAGGAGGGAGGCAGAACGAGTGATGCCGCCAAACTGAGCTTGGTTCGGAATCTGAACCTCTGCTGTGAAAATGCTGTACACAGGTCTGTGATCCGAGAACCGAGACTCGCCGCGCACGTAGCATAATTGAATTAGACCTCGTCCGTACCATAGAATCCGGTCACACCTTCAGAAAGCAATACATATCAGGAGGTGAGTGGTGCGTGCTTGCAGAAGAGAGGTGCTTGCTCACAGTTAACATATACTTTTTTTAGGTGAGTGATCAAAGGTGAATATTATAACAAGTTCAGTTTTTTGGGAGAGATTTTACCATGCCGGTGTCCTTCGCTTCTCATTTGGATGCATGTCATCGCCAGCATATCTATCAGAGTTGTATGAGTATTTGTACGTGGGAGGAAAGTAAATCCTCCCTTCTTTCCAGCCTGCAAAGACCCGACCGAATCGTTGCTCTATGCGAAGCTGTACCAGGAATTTCAAGCATTAGATAACCAAACAAAGGCATCTCCATAACAAGAGGCATAACTCTGATAAGTTCACATGACAACAGCTAGCTAACCTGGTCCTTTTCCAACAACTGTTTCCAGTTGTGCATCTCAACTAAAGCCTTAACTGAGCGGTAGGAAAGAGCTATCCGGTAATTCAGGTCCCCAAGCCAAATAATACGACTGAAAAGAAAAAAAAATCATAGAATAAGATTTGGTGCTTACAAACTTCTTTCTTGATTTTTTAGATATGAAGTGTTGAACTGGTCTGGAAACAGCAGAAAACGAGAAGCGCTAGTGCACTACTCACTCATGATCCAGAATTGTCTCTGGTGACTTCTTGTCACCTGCTCCATGAACATGCGGGAATCTGGTCTTCCTCAAGATTTCCACTACATCTGCATTTCGTCTAAGTTGATCACCATCTTTTTGGCCTGATGTTAAGTGAGTGCAAACAAAGCAGAAGCTTGTCTGATGCAGAGACATACTGATTGATATGGATCCCTGAAAAAAAAAAGACTGAAATCAGGAATAGGGCTTACCCCAAAAAAAATTCAATAAAACAGATGCATATAAAGCTAAGATCTCAAACAATATAGTTGAAAAAAGTTACACTGTACATGCAGAGTTTGGTGTAAATATTATATGTCAAACCCCTAACAGAAATGAACAAGATAACCAATTGTACCTTGTTTCCAAGGTAGCCCATCAGTCCTCTACCAACACATGAAACCTTCAAGTTTTTCACATGCTCTCTTATATCACTTCGTACCCACACCATGAGGAAAATTCCAACCATTTGCTTGCTGGCAACTAAGCAATACCTGATTTGTCATTGAAGTCTTAATTTCAGCTCAGGGGAATTCAATGATGAAAATTTCAGTGAAATACTATATAACAGGGAATTATTGCATACGATTAGCTCAGAAAGCAAATTAACTTTGAGGAAAGATGAGCTATTTATCTTCAAGTGTCCTAAGTTGAGATGCTTACCTAGAATCAGTGCATAGTGGAGCACCATATGCACATGGCATTGGTGGGAAGAATATACCACTAGGTGATTCCTCGTCAATATTCTCATCATCAGATGACCCACCACACCTCATACTGGTGTCAACATCACTTGGCCTGCTCCCGAAGCTAATCCGGTCACAAACACTGAATCGACGGTCCACTAACGAGTGTGGATCCATCATGTCAATCCTTGAACTACGATTGAAGGATTGGAATGAACGTCGATGGGAAAATGACGAGTTCCTTTGCTTTCTTGATGATCGCTCAAAGTCAACATTGAGCTCCACAATTGGATCTGGAGCTGGTGAGGGGGTGTGGTAATTATAGACACCAGAGCCTTGTTGATCAAGATTATTGAGAGTTTTTCTAACAAGAGAAACCCATTTCTTCGCCGGACCATTGTCTTCAGTCAATAGAACATTACCAGCATTCAAGGGAACAATTTCCTGAAACCTGGCATAACAACCTGTATTAGTTTTTTTTTATTTGAGTTTTTAGCTTTAGAGATGCTTCTTAGTTTCGAGAGAAGTAATCTGATTTAGTAAAATGCAGAATTATACCCTATCACATATATATCAGCAGCAGGAGAAGTATGAAGCCAGTCTTCCAGATTCAAATGACTAGATGGTGACCTTCCGCCCACATTCCATGTACCAACGAAGACCCTATGCACACAAGTATATGGATTGTCATATCACAGGAGTTTCCTTAAACCAATGATTAGTGGATTGGTCAAGAAGTCTTATAAACGAAACAATCTATTTACCTGTAGTCCTGTGTGTTTGTAATATAAGCACCATCAAATCCGTTTCCTACTCTACCATCTCGCTCCACATTCCTCTTCGGCAACCTCTCTATGTATGTAAACATAAAGTTAACTCAGTCACTCACCACGAAACATAAAAATAGCAAGATCCTGACATTTGCAGTTTAGCACAAAAATAAAACAACAGGGTGAAAAAAAAAAACTGAAGATACCATAGTTACTGTCAGGGGGCAAGCAAAATGTACCTGTCCTACTTTTCTTGGATTTGCATGCATCTCTATCTGAGAAGCTGGTCCTCCACTGCACTCCCACTGAAATTTTCAGAAGGAATTTTAGCAAGATACAGTAAAAAGAGAATCCTAGTTTACTCGGGGTCACTAGCATATTCTGGTTGCTTCTGCAACCGTAGGGGCGGAAGTTTGACTGAAGAGAACAGGAAGTATGAGGCCAATTTGCACATGAAAAGAACAAGCATTCTGATCCTACTGTGATAAGAATATGTTTAATAACAGAAATCATGCAGAATTTTATGAGCAGATTCTTTGCTGTTAGATCATATAGTGAAAAGACGTGGTGGGGTGTTGCTAGATGAATGTACCTTCGTCAGCTGCATAATCCGAATGGAAGTCCTTCGCCTTTGTTTTGATGTTGAACCACTTCCTAACAAGGGTCTTGGACCATGACAGCTTTTTGCGCACCAATCACAACCAAAACAGGATCAGAGACGAACACAGAAACGTGAGTACGAACGTGATGGAGCTGCCAATCTGGAAACACGCTTACCTTGTTCTTGCTTGAATTGTCATCTCTCATTGTCTCAATGCTTCCTCATGCAGCTGCAAGGGATATGTTCCTCCCTCCTCAGAACCTCCAAGCTTGGCCGCTTTTTACTTCCACTCGAACGGTATCTCCAAAAGGAATCAGGAAAGAACAGGATTCCACCACCTAATTTTTTCCCCTTTTGTGAAATGAAATAGACCGAACCGGCTAACGAACCAGTGAACTCCCAAGAACTATTTGGCAAACACTCCAAAGGCAGCGTAGAGAAGAAAGCAAGGAGCAAAGGGAAGCGGTTCGTTAGAGATCACGGGGGGAGGATGAGAAAGAGAAAGCGGTCGCCGGCTCGCCGAAGAGAACGCGGGATTCCGGAACAAAACCAAGAGCAGGACACCCTTGGCGCGGCAACAACCTGTTGGTGGCACCCCAACACCAGAAATCGCTACCGGTGAAGGAAAAACCGGAGAAAAGACGGGCAAAACCTCGATCAAATGCGGGATTTTGAGCGTTGGGGAAGGATCAATGGCGGAAGCAGTTAAACGCTGCTCCAGGACATAAAAAAGAAAACGCCACCAGAGGCAGAACAGGAGCGGAAGTAAATGAGCGAGCCTAGGAGCCGCGACCAGGAACACGGCGGGAGGCACGGAGGCGACCAGCGCTGGGGGCGCCTCGAGCAATGCAAGGAGCGGGGCAGCAGCTCAGCGGGTGGCGCGGCCGCGGATTTCAAGGCCTGGGGAGGGAGATGGCCAGATGGGGCGGGCAGAGAGAGGGAGGCTGCAGACAGTGCAAGGACGGACGGACGGACACGCTGCTCCCCGCCCGTCTGCGCGCTCGCGCTGTTCGAGAAGACGAGCTGGGCTGGGCAGCAAAGAAGCAGAGCAGAGGAGAGGACAGTAGGGGAGTGGGAGAGCAGCGGCGGCAGTGGGAAGTGACAAGTGAGGGAGGGAGCAAACAGCAAAGGAGCTGAGAAATATGAAGGGAATAAAGGCAAAAGCGTTGGGGCCCCTTTCTTTCCCCTTCTACGGTTCTACTCCTACAATAGCCTTTGCTCTTTAGCTCCAAAACCAAGGCGAACCCTGCAAGTTTTGGCTGGGGTTAATGGAGCTTTTCTGATAGTATTTTCTTCAGCAACTGTTGACCAAGTTGCTAGATTCGGGTCAGGAGTTGTTCTAGGTAATCTGTAGTATGTGTGACCTTTGTTTTCTTCACGCTTCAACTGTTTCTCTTCCTGTTAAGGACCTGATTGGACTGCGGGAAAAAAAAATCTATTTCTGCGTTTTTCCCGTGGAATTGAACTGATTCATGTAAAATTCCTGTAAAATTCCTACGTTACGGACAGGTCCAGACATTTCCAGATTGTAAAGCTCTTACGCTATGGCCCGTTTTAAAAACTGAGACTAGAGAGGTGTCAGGTGTGTGCTACCATTGGCATATAAATCATGTCAAACCCCACCGGAGTTTTTAGTCTTTGGTGCTGACCAAACACTTTGGTATTAGGACCGTAGGAGTACTCCTGAGCCACTGCAGCATTGAATGAAACACAATGCTACTGTTACTAGGTGTTCCCAAAATTTTATAAAATTTTTCAAGATTCCTCGTCACATCGAATCTTTGGACGCATGCCCATGAAGCATTAAATATAAATAAAAAATAAAACTAATTACACAGTTTAGACGAAATTCACGAGACGAATCTTTTAAGCCTAATTAGACTATGATTGGACACTAATTGCCAAATAACAACGAAAGAGCTTCTGATCTATTTCCCAAAAAAAAAACGTCAACTAAACCAGGCCTAGCTAGCAAATGTATACTGATATTATGGTCTTATGGATTCTTCCCATGTCTTCGAATCCAAGTGATTCTGAGTTTGTTTCAAATGAATATATTCTAAGTTTTATCAATGCTTCTTTTAAAGAAAAATACGAAATCAAGTGAGCATCCGTAGATCCATTATGAGATATACTCCATTCGTAGAAAAATAAACAAACTCTAAAATTGTCCTAAATCAAACTATTTCAAATTTGATCAAAATATCTAGAAAAGAACACTGATATTTGTGATATTAAATTAGTATTACAAGACACACCAAGAAATATATTCCATAGTTTACTTATTTGGTGTTATATAAGTATTTTTACTCTTCATTATAAAATTGATCAAACTGAAGATAGATTGACTCTGGGTGATTTTTCAAGGAGTTGATTTATTTTCCAACAGAGAGAGTATTTCATACTTTACCTATTTAAAACTCGATCAATCTTATACTAGTTTAATAACTCATGACAAACTCATAATTCATCGTATTATAAAACGGATGCAGTATTTTTTTATCAAGACCAATCAACTCAATCGCTTTCAAGCAACCGAATTCAACAAGTCGATAGAAATATCCAGTTAAACTTTACAATAGTTGTCCCCAGAATGTTCCTTGTTAACAGTACCTGGAGATAGTGATCGTTTTAAGCAGCAGGATATTACACTGGTACTCTTGGAGGGGAGAAAAAACGGTGCTTGGTTGGTCAACGACTCAGTGGGAGTACAGGGACAAAGCATCAATGTCATGCACAATGAAAATAGAGTAACCTAGCAAAAGCTATGAATCTAGAAATATTAAAATGTCCTATAGTTTAGAACATAGGGATTAGTTTGTTGTTGCATGGTTAGTTCATTAACATTGGGTCCTATTTTCCAGAGGTATGAATACCGTGGATTCAATTATTGCAGGTGTTTCTTCTGAATCCGTCTATACAAACTTAGGTGATTCGAAGAGTTCAGTCACTTGTGTGATTTGTTAACCAATATCATATGAATTTATGAGTGCGGACAAATCATATCATCTATGTTTTTTCCTTACTCGGGTGATATGATTGCTTTAACACATGATTTAGATGGTGGCAGAAAACTACGTGATTTGAAGGGGATCATCACACGAATGAGATGAGGCAAGACAGGCATAGGCCAAAGATTTTCTCACGAATCCTTAGTTACGCTACAACAACATTGTTAAAGCAATGTTAAAGCTAAAAAGATGTTCTACATAGGAATTATATTGAAATAATCATTGGCTTTAGTACAAGTTCTGCTTTCGTTCAAGCCTACCAATTCGATCCATCGGGCTGTCGATCGCTACAACAACATTTGTTGACTTGCCACTCGCATCATTTGCAGCACAGGAAAACTAGGACCCAAAAAAAAACCAAGGAGGAAGTAGAGACGGTTAGTTGGCTTTTGTGCTACTTTCAGGATCCGTGAAGGCCCTAGTAGATCACAAATCATGTAAGATTGTAGAAACCTGTAAACTCATCACGATCTCTGTATTTTGTTGCTCTATGTCTAAAACCATAGTATAGCGCTACAAGACGATACTCGAATTTCCCAACGTATTCTGATTTACTGTGACCGTGTCATATCTTGTGCTGTGTAAGAGCCCGGCAGGGAGGGCCCCTAGGGGGTGGCGGCTAGGGCTGAGGGAGGTGAGGGCGACGAGCAGGGAGGGGGGGGGGCGGCGGCACTAGGGCAGAGGGAGAGGGGCGGCGCAGGAGGGAGGGAGAGGGGAAGGAGAGATAAGCCTCGAGACAATTCTTTCTTGATTCCAATGATTACATAGCCTTTCTACTTATAGTCCTTGATAGACTTGTATCTTAAGTAATATAATAAGGGAAGTCCTTATAGATATGGACTCCTTTCTATCTTAGCTAATCCTATTTCTATTGGAGATCCTCCGGATATGGATAGTGGAGCCGCGGGGATCCGCTTTTGCTTGTGCGCCTCCCCTTAGGCGTCGGCGCGGCTGCTGCTAGCGCCCGGGCCAGATGGGCCTGTAGGCCCCATTAGGCGTATGACACACTACCTTCGTTCACGAAAACATGCAATTCTTGCACAGTATTACGTTTTAGTATCTTATACCAATTATAGATAAAAAAAAGTATCAATATTTATGATATCAGATAAATATCATTAGATTAATTATGAAATGTATTTTCATTATAAATTGATTTAAAGCATAAATATAAATACTATTCATCGGATACTTGGTCAAATGTGACCTATTTTTATGACAGGCAATCTATAGTTGCATGTTTGCATGTTTCCTAGACCGAGGGGAGTACAATGATCCCCGGATCCGTCCTGAAATTTCCGGCCTTCGCCTCGCCTTGATAAACGAGACTCGAGCGCTCTGATCAGTGGTCAGTCCTCAGAGGCATCTACTCCGTACTCCTACGTACTGCTACTGGGATCCTTGGGCCTCGTAAAAATCCAGGAGCTCGCAGTCGCGGGCGCGAGGAGCTGCTCCATGGCATGTGGGCCCAGCATAAGCCCACTTGTCAGCGCTGCAGCGCTGGCCGCGCTCTTCCTGGAGCAGATGGCAGCGCTGGCCGCCGGCAGGGCAGCCAAAGCCCAGAGAGCCAGTGCCAGTGTGCCACGGCAGACTCGCATGGCACTCGCACTGTTCCTGCTCGCCTCCCGTGCTGTCTTGCTGCAACCGGCAGCGGGCAGCGCCAGCGCCAGCCGCAGCCGCGGTGTTGGCGGTCTGCTGCCCCGCCGGCCGCTGCCTCTGAGTATCTTCCTCGCCGTGGCCAGGCCTGGCCCTCGGCTGCCGCTGCCGCTGCCGCTGCCGTGCAAGAGCCAAGAAAGGACAGGCAGTATCTGGGATGGTGTCGCTACGTGAGTGTGCGCGTGTATCGGTGTAGCCGTGTAGGGCAGGTGTGTGTACTACTAGTGTCTAGTGTAGGGAGACCCATACCACCGTCGCTGTCCGCATCTGTACATCCCGGCCAGCGTTGCAACCCAGACCAGCTCAGCTTTGTTCGTGTTTCCCTTTTTTCCTCCACTCCACCTGTGCCCTGTCTGTGGCCAATCCTGAGTGCGGTTAACGTGGGACGAAGGATTCTTTACGCAAATCCGTGCTGACGGAAGTTCGTCGAAGCAGCAGGCACTGGCACAGTGGCACTGTCTGTATTAGGGGTGAACATGGCGGTGAAAGCCTTTGCCTTACAAGATAGACAAGTGGTTCAGATGGTTTTCTTGCAAGCG